CCCCACTAATTAGCTATCTCATCTCCCGAAATCTATGTTGGACCTTTTAATTTTTCATGTTCACAAACTTGTTTTGAGTTAATGAAATTTCCAGTATGTCGACCCGAAAAAATAATAATAAAGAATCGTCTCCCAGATGACCATGGGACTCTAAGCTGAATCTCCTACATATTGCATTTATTGAATTCACAGCATTCTCCACAAAAAAAAAATGCACCACCTAAGTACTGCCTCAGCATGTATTTGTTTTTTGGCGTGAATTTGGCGGTAGCAACACAAGAGAATCATAATATGCAAAGCCTATGAAGACATTATTACGGTATGTTAACTATCTCATTTTATAGGGTACCTCTATTACTTTCATGATACACAAACTAATTTGAACAAAATACTCTTGTAATATACATTCTCTATCTTGACCTGTAAATCGCCGTCTTTCTAAAATTGCCATTCTTTCTAAACTCTAGAGTTTATCAAGACAAACATAATATGACTTCCCTTTACAGGGTAGTGAATCGCCGTCTCTTTGTACCGCTACTAGGCTTTTTGAATTTGAATCGTATACTTGGGTAGCAAGAATCATATTGGTTCCCGCTGACCGAAGTTTTTTAACGGAGGAAACTGACCGGTAAAAATTGCCATCTTCAATTCGTCGTTTGACAGGCCATCACATCAACTTGGAGAGATTTGTATATGAGATTGAATATGTGAATTCCTTCCCCCAACGAGATGTTCCTGCTTTTGTTTATATACTTAAAAGGTGAGTAGTAATCAGAAATGCATACACCGAAGAGGAACAGATTAAGAAGTAGAATCCAAACAAACTCATGAATTAAATAGGACACTTGCATACCATTGTCTGGGTTATGGAGGGAAAGACGGGCAAATTAACATTTGAACTATCAGAAAGGAAAAGTACAGAACCAGACAAGAACCAAAAGAGACTTGAAAAACTAAGGTGGTTTCACACCTCGACTTGAGACAGGAAGGATATGGCCATTCAACACTCGTTCAATAATCGGTTCCGAATCATTCCTTCCCCTCCTAAGTTTGGCATGCTAGACAGAGATACGATAGAGTATATGCAAATCAGCCCAGCACAAGGTCTGAGCTAAGGCTTCATAAGTTCTCAGCTTGTGAAAAGTGGCAATCAAACGGATCATTTGAACTGCTCAATGCCAGTTCAATTCTATTCTAATGAAGTCAAAAGACAGACATTTACAGCTTGCACCGCGCCAGCAAGCATGAAAGGTGTGTACACAGTGCACCTGAACAAATCAGGATCAACCCCTGCAACCTCAAGCTCTCTCGCCACGCCTACAGATAACAAATTAACACCTTGTTCCTTAGCTGTAGTAACTGTGGACCATGACCCTAACATCCTCAGAAACCCTTTGAAAGAGAGCTCCTTCGTTATATGCAGTGGGAGTGGCTCACCTACGCATCCCAACCCCACACTCTCAAATGGGAAAGGGAGTTTCTGGTAACCATCAATTAAGTACTTAATGTTGGGGTCCCAGAAGGGCAGTGTAGTGTCATGGAAGCGTTTCATGACTGGATCGAATGTAGCACCACACTGCAATCACACCTCCCAGCTTCCGGAGCAGATGGCTCATGAGGGAGTAGAAATTGGAGAGGTCAAACCAGTGCACGGCTTGAGCCACCGTAATCAAATCCACTGAATTTTCGCCTCCAATTAAGGTCACGATTTCATCGTAGGAGATGGGTATTGGGGTGTGGACGTAGCAGAATGCTGCATTGCACATTTTAGCTGGGCCGCACCTGCATCAGTGGCAATCACCTGGTCGTAGTGCTCAGCTACCTACTTTACAAGGAAATGCAGGGCATATGAACAGAGCCGTACATGACGAACAATCAGGTATCAAGGAAAAAAATTGAGATTGGTGAAAGATTTATCTTCATAAAGCAAAGAGAAGGGAAGAGAAGCGCATTTGAAAAAGAAAACAAAAGGGAAAAGAAGCTTGGAAGACACTGAGCACTTAGCAAAACATGCAATGACTGGCTGTCAATGAATCTCATCAACTGGCGAAGGCCCTCATCGATTCCCTTCAAGTTGTTGATTGCTTTGTTCGCTGGTGACTTATGTAATGATCAAGCTTTGTTCTCGTCAATCGAGTTTGCTACTCGTCGATTTCAAAAGTTGATCATTATTTGGTGTCAACAAACATAAAATTTTTCCCATAATTTCAAAGTAGAAACAAATTGAATCTCCAGTAGCTGTAGGCACCGCGACAGCGGGTACTTGAAGCATCTTTAGGGAGCTCGAGACAAGGGAACTCTCCTCCCACCATAAGTCAACTCGGGAGCTTGTAGCTCCGACAGACAAACCAACCTATCCAATTTGTAAGAAGATTTTGACCAAAAAAAATAAATGTAAGAAGACACCTCGCTTCTCTCAGCTTACTCAAACTTGATGTAATGGATAATCTCTCGAGGAGTTCACACCCAAGCATAAACACCAAATTTCAAATGCGAAAACCCAAAAATTTAACAGATCAAAAGTCCTACCCATGTTTTGGACATGCATGTAATCGCCTCGCAGGGTTGGCTTCGATCCAAGTCGTTCGCACCACTGCCCTCCTTCCACACTACACTGTCGATTCTCCATTTCTAATCGAGTGAAGCAAACAACCCTAGCTCTGCTGGTGCTGACTCGAAGAACCTTGCTTTCATTTTTGTTTTGGCCATTTAATTTTCATCCAGTTGCAAGTGAGTGACACTTGCAAATGGGTCAAATCAGAAAGATTCAGACGAAAATGACAAGGGTGACCCGGGTGAGCTGCAGGTGGATTGCTCGCTTACTTCACGGACTTCTTTGAAGCAACACCTTTTGAGAATTTTTTTGAAAGAGCAACCCCACGTCACGAGACTTTTTAGAATTATCCCTCCTACTTTTGCCGACTCTATTTTTCTCTCTCTCTTCTTCTCTTTATTTTCCTGATCCTGCGGAAGGAAATAACAAGATGGACTGAGGTTTATCGGGCCTAAATTTTATTAAGGAAAGGCCTTTTTTTTTTAACCGAAATAAAAAGCAAATATAGTAACAGTGATGATCTATGAAATTGAAAGAAGGCGCACCTTTTCCACTTCTATTTCGCAGTCGGAAAAAGTTGTTTCAATTTCAGAGTCCGACCCTTGTGCTGGTCCATTCAGAATCGTCTCTCTGTAAGACGCCTAGGTGATGTGCCTCCTGTAAACTTTGGGTGAACCCATTGGATCACTTTCAAGTAACTCCCCACAACGCTGCGTCCATATCCGGCACTGCTTGATGCATCAATAATCCTTTCAATTGATGGGCAGAACCAAACTTCCAAGCAATGCAAAAACTCTAACTCGTCAACGCCCTCGACAACCAGCAGGCTCTTGCACCCTTCAATACCTAAATACTCCAATTCTTCAAGTTTGACAAACCGCCTAACCCTTTTAACGATTTGCACCGTTGAACAAAAAAAAATTTCAATGATTCCAATGTTGAAACAAATTGAATCTCCTGTAGCTCTAGGCAGTTCGACAGTTTGAGTCTTTGAAGCATCTTTAGGGAGTTCTGAGACAAGAGACACTCTCCTCCAACCATCAGTCAACTCGGGAGCTTGTAGCTCATTGCACCCGGGCTCCTTTGATAGACAAACCAACCCCTCCAAAGATTTACAATCCTCAATACATAAGCTCTCCATCGATTTTAAGACATCAAGAAATTGAACTTCAACTAGGTTGTTGCAAGAATACACATCGGCTACTCTCAATTTAATCAAACTTGATGGAATGGATATTCTTGTGACGAGTTCACAATATCTTATAGTCAACTTTTCCAACTGAGGAAGCCCATCGAGTTCTACTTGTTTCACTTGAGCTTTACCGAGCTCTAGAACTGTCAAGTTTGACGGAAGTTGTTTCAGCATTTGCAAGTCTAGTCCATAGAGTAAGTTCTTCCAGCAGAGAAAGGGAACCCCACTCTGCATACGTTGCGTGGACATTTGAAAGGCACAAGTACTGCTTGCTCAGTTTGGATAGCCTCCCAATCCATAGCAAGTCATAAGGTTGAATTATATTTGATTCGTCATGACCTTCAGAGGCATCGGATAGGAGTCGTTCAACTAGATTAGTACGGTATGAGAGCGCTCACAGAGTCTCTTGTAGAACTCCTTGATAGATATTGGCGGACCAGATTCCAGCGACGCACAATGCCAGGACCAACACACGGCGGAGGCCAGCGCCGTGAGCTTCCATGGAGTGGCCCGAAAACGCCCCCGAAAGACACCAGATCTGGCGGCTCGCTCGGCCTTCCTCCGCCGAATGCCTGAAGAGTAGAGGGAGAGAGAGAGAGAGAGAGAGAAAAGGTGTGTGTAGATGAAGAATGCAGAAGAAAAATGGAAACTTCAACTGCAAATTCGAAGGTGTCTTCGAGGAGGAGGAGGAGGAGGGGGAGGAGGAAGACGGTTTGTTTGAATCTTCAATAACTTGAACAAATGTAGCAATTTTATAGGTAAAGAATCCGACTAACATTGGTATCAACTCCAAATGCATTGTTCCGTGTTCTGGAACGAGGATCCTGCACCCAAGAACAATTAGGTTAAACACGATAGAGGAATACAATACAATTTAATGCTTTGCCAAGCAAACCACTATTAAATGTTTTTCTCATCAATATTCACACATGGTGCTCCTACATATGATACTAACCAAACTACTCCAGCAGCTAGCTGCTCTGCCAATGACCATTACAAGTAGTGGGAACAGATGCACTGCATCTTAATGGTATTCAGCATCAAGTGTAGCTCAATACACAGTCAAACAAAAGATCAGGTACATACTTCATCAGCCCATTAGCACCATCTGCCATGGAATCCACACTGCTCCCAAGCATCCCTCTGTAAACCAAGGAACCAAGAAATCTGGCACTGAAGCTGAAACATAAGCAGATTGTAAGCACTGAAGCTGAACCAAGAAATCCGGCACTGAAGTTGACACATGTGAGCTAATATCCATACCTACATAGATGCACACTGTTCTGAAACTTCTCACCATCTTGTCATTTCATGTAAACAAAAGCAAAGAAAATATCTAAAGTCGCCGATTGAACTATCATAAGTCATGGCAAAGTGAAAGTTAGATGATCAGAGTTCCAGGAGCAGCATTCAACTGCCAGGTTTGAAATAATTGGCAGCAATGGAAATTCATGCTCGAGATCCGCTTCATTCAAGATTTGAAAAGATCACGTTGCTTAATGATCCTTTCTTTAATTGCCAAAGAGCTATGAACCTACTATCTAAAAAGATTGACTCCACACTTTCAAGACTTGTTAGTTGCCCACATGAAAACTGATAAACATAGAGTTAATCGAAAATAGAGAATATCTTCAAGGATATTCAGACCGGAGAGTGAAGAGGATCTTTCCATGTAAAATCACTCATTGACTTCGCAGAGTAAAAGAATGCCATACCCAGATAAGCTAAAACGGTAATTTTAAGTTTAACGGTCAAATGCCAGGTAATGTGGAAGCAACGTGGTCTGAATCAGGGGTTTCGAACAAAACGGAGAGTTGACATTACAGGTTTACCCCCCATTTCCAGTTCCCGTCTCAACAACAGGAGGAAGTTGCATTTTTATCAATGCAAAATGGTTGCTACATTGAACGATTATACCTCTTTTTCAGCAGCTTGTTTCAGGTCTTTGATGCGAGACTGGAGTACAGTATATTGAGACAGAAGTTGCTGCTTGATTGCAGTTGCATCGACTGATCTTTGCAGAAGCTGACAAATGACACAATGGATGACTAAATATGCATAGAACTAAGCTTATGTTAATGGCAGATTCAAAGCACAATGTGAAATCATATGACTAGAATTCTTGGTAATTAGTGCTTAAGGGAAAGTCTGAGCTTGTCTAACAGAACTGGACGGAGAGGTTAATTGACTTTGATATATAAATGCAGCATCTGGTATTTGGAGCGTGAGCAGAGGTATCAAAGCAAACATGCAAGGTACTTTAGACTATGATGACATCACACAAGAATATCCAGCACACTCCAAAATATAATAACAAAAGCACCTATTTTCATGATTCAATCTGACAAAACATGGATTCCCTAGTGTTACCTTCTATTATATGGAACTGACAATTAAAATACTAGGCGAAGAATTATTGATGTCAAGAAAAAAGCAAAATTTAAAAATGTTGCTGCAAAAGAAATTCAGAAGTAAAACTACACGGAAAATGTAAAGTCCACTCGCATCTACTGCATCAAACAATGTGATAAACTTACTCTGTTTAATTGGGGAAAAACCAGAACATTTAAAGTAGCCCCAACTGTGAGAGATGCAACTGCACCAACTGAAAGGAGCTGAGGCAAGCTGGGATCAATAAATCCAGATGCAGCATCTCCAGTGGCCAGCACAGCTAGGAGTGGAAAAAGGACAGACGGATTGAATAACAATGAATTTCCGTCTTTTGCAGGTGCGCTTAAAAGTAGCGATTCCCTCCCATCTTTGTGGTTCGTGAGGCACATAGGCTCACTGGGGTAGAAGTTGGGAGCCTTTGGGCTAAACTTAAATGGACCCACCTCCCGGTAAACATTTGATGGAGCTGCTAAAGCCATAGTTACTCTATCTCCTGCTTGAGCAGGAAGAGTAGCTGTTTCAGTGGCAAACCAGTGGGTGCACGCCACACCAGAAGGGGTCTGCACCTACAAATTGAATATGCACAAAAGTCTCTATTAAGTAGTAATAAAAGAAAATTCGCAATTTAAGCTTCAAATAAAGCTATTGATGCCATGTCTGCAAAACCTTTAATAGCTATTATATCAATGGGAAGATCAAACCCTTCCAGCTTGTTAGAGAAGAGAGGAAAAGATGAATCAGCACAAGTGCTTCTGAGGAGACATAAAAATTGAGTGGATAGTAATTTTTTCCAATTCATTCTAAGGTCCCCATTTAATTGCATTTAGGAGGACAACAAGCCAGATAGCTTTCAGCACAGCTGCGAAGATACAATCTGATAGATCTCACAAGATTGAACAAACCGCATAACTCCTATGTCATAGTAACGTGAACATACCACAACAGAGTGAACTGCAGCAGGGATAGTTTGCTTTGTTAAATTCAGAAATCTTAGCCCCCGTTTCCATGCTGGAACATCCATGCTGCGTTCGGCAGGAGGAGACCCTTAGAAGAAGTGAATATCCAAGGATCAACACCACACAGAATAATATATGTGATCAACTAGGAAACAATGGCTGTTCAAACTAATGATCCCAGATCTAGCTTATGATTAGAAGCTATCATATGGCTGATCAAAAGAGGAAACAGTATGTGACAGTAGATATATAAATACCCAGGAGATCGAGGAAATAAAAAGTTCAATACAGGATTTGCTTAAGTCATTTTCAATTAATTATGCAAGAAAGATAGAAGTAACAACCTGATCTCTTCGGAGTCAATACTAATAATGTCACCGGAAAATAGCTCATACTTGTAACGGCAGGTGGCACAGGAAACAATCTGTGGCAGCAGGTTCCGAATAAGATGTTATCACAATAAAATGTTTGATGAATACTTGACATAAATATGTGAATGAGCTATCATAAAGCTGAAGAGCAAATAGAACTAGACTCTCAAGGTCAAAATGCTCATCAGCAGAGTTAGTTATTAGACTCAATCAGGGCACAGAATTCTATGAACCCATCAACAAGCCTCTTACAAGTAAAATTGCATCCACCTCTTGGTCATTCATCGACAATACAAAGAAGAAAACTCAGGGAGGATGACCGAGTCGACCCTACTAACAGAAGAGCAACACGAACTCGACAGGAAAATGGACAAGGATTCATATCCATAAAAAGCACCATACGTCGATATTTTGAACTTTGGAAAGGAGAAGGTATCACAGCTTACTTTAATCCTAACCATGACTCTGCATTATTTATGCAGCGCTAGAGAAAGTTGTGAAATAACTCAAACTATGTGGCAAAAGGCAAGTATACTTTTACTGCGTAAATCACAATGATCATCCGATTCTAAATCCTTGCAGCACATCTACAGTGGAGTCCGCCTACCTTAACATCTAGGCACGCTTAGTAAGCAATAATTGGAACAAAGTATAGAACTTGAAGTTATCTTCGATAAAGAAATGGCATAATCAAGACTAAGAATTGAACTTTGGTAGCATACCTGAATACCATCTTGGGGTTGTGCAACAGCAACAGCTATCATACAACTTGGACATCTCACAACCTTCCCGAAAGGGACCTGCTAGAAGCAAAAAAATTCCACGTAGTGCAGGGTCGGTAGGAAGACTACCAACAATTATCCAAGTAATAGTTTTCTAAGGCAAATGCATGCATGATTGGCAGCCAAAACAGCTTTTAAATTTTAAAGTAAGAAACAGTAGGATTTTACATCCGCACCGGGAGAAACCCCTACTTGGCATATGATATCAATCACACTTAGAACATCAGAAACCCTTAGTGATGCTGCAAGACCCTGAACTAACAGTGTGTATAAGCGCACGTCAGGCCTGGACCATCTCCACCGGTCGACATAAGTACCGTCTTCACCTGGACCTGGCCATCATCAAGATATCAACATTAGATTCACAGTCACACATTTCAAATGATCTCCACCTCATTCCAGTTGAATTTCTAGACTTCCTCCTACGAACCAAGCATATTCATTGTCCCTCCCTACAAAAAATTATCTAAACGACATTTCTTCCCTCTTTAAGCCGTGGAACAGAAGAAAGCACCCACTAAGTAAGAGAGGAAGTTAAGGCACTAGTATCAACCGGCAATTGCAATAAAGCATTGAGCACTTCACACGTTGCGATTATTGATGAACACTCAGTTCAGAAATCAGAACCCCGAAACACCATGTATATGGAATAACAAGACACGCCTTGATCGAAAGTCGCGCGCACGGCATAGAACACGGACAGAACCAACCCGGCATTGCCGCGCTCAAGCGCCGCGGCCATAATCGAGCAGCAATCCGACATGCCGACCACGCCGCCCCTCCTGCCGGCCTTCTCAGCGATGATCCGCAGCGCCTCGTCGGCGTCCCCAGCGCCGGACGCTTCGCCGACGAGCACAAGCTCAAGGTCATTTCCGGAATTTCCGTCAGCGGCGACGACGAGAATGGAGCGGCTTCCTACTTCCCTTGAGATTTCAGAGAAAAATGAGAAGACGAAGGCGGTTTTGGGAGAGAGAAAGCTTCTGTTCGTGAAGCTTTTTCTCGTGTTTGTGACGTGAAGAGTGATTCTCGCCGGAAGGTGGTTCTCGGGATCGGGAGAGAGAGAGAGCAAAGCATTAACGGAGCTAACGGGGATAGAGAAGAGACGGGAGGCTCTGACACGTGTCGCACGTCCAATGGACTGTCTCAGCGATGACGTCGTTGACAGACAGTCTTGCACAACATTTTCTCACGCGCGCAGCAACAAATTACTCGAGATTTTAGGATAGGGTCAGGCTGAGCCGGGTGGGGCCGTGCCGGCGTAGCCTTTTTTGACACTCCTACTAGTTGCCATCAGCGCTTTAATCATCGTTTTTCCATTTTATGTTAAGTGGTCGTCACACCAGTTCCGTTTGCTATCGATTTTCTGTGAGTCCCAAAATCAAGTTACCCCACATATTTAGTTAGACTCACAATAATTCAAAGTTTAAGCCAATTAAGACTAACTAAAATATATTAATAATCCTTTTCTAGACTCAATTATTGTTCGCGCAAGGGACTCTAGTCGTACCCAATCTCCCGTATGCGCAGTAACAAACTAGTGGACCAATTTACTTCCCACCTGGCGGCCGAGTATTTTCTCCGAAGAAAAGACTTAAAATGAAAATAGCTATTATTTGTCACTATTCCTCGTGTAAAGGATGACGTCACTTTCCGGAACCGAGAATTCCGGAAAACGACGTACAGCTGATACCGATACAGAGAAAGATCGAAAGCGAGCCGCAGCAGACGGCGGATGAAACAAAACCAACACCAGACGACACAACACACAGCCATTTTCCCACCCGAAACCCACTACAAAAGCAGAACCCACAACAACAACACACAACTCGGGGACCGAACGCAACAGCCGATCAACATCATGGGGCGGGCTAGGGCGATTTCTTCCCGCAAACCCGAGGAGCGAGCGAAGAAGATGAGCGAGACGGCTTTTGATCTGCTGCGGGGGCACTGCAGCCGAGAACAGAGCCGAAGAGTTGAGCGACGGGGGCTTTGAAGCTTCGGAACAGACAGGCGAATACGAGACGCTTTATGCGTCCGCGCCGGGGAGGAAGAAGAAGCGCCTCTTGACTCTTCACTGCTGATCCCTTCTCTTTCATGGCTTCCTCCTGCATGCAAGCCATCGCGCTTTCTTTGCCGTGCTTTGTAGAGAGAGAGAGAGAGAGAGAGAGAGAGAGAGAGGATGCTTGGTCTTGCTTGTGTGGGAGAGATGTGGCGGTCATATTTATAGGTTTTAGTTCGCGCGCGTCCCATCGTGTTCGCTGGGAGCTGATTTCCTATTTCCTGGAAGCTGCGCCTCTTCGTTTCTGCTTCCTTTATTAGGTAAAACAAACAAAACTTGGACAATTCCACGTACTCGGCCATTTTTCTTTTTTTCGTCATTGTTAGTGGACATCATTAACAAGAAAATACCCCCACTCGCTTTTGCTTTTCCCATCTTTTTGCCCATAAGTAGCGCATCACTATCAATCGCTTTAAAAATTTAACTATCAAATAAATATATAATTTATTATTAAATATTTTAATATTATCTCTTTCACGTGCGATGCGCGACAACGCTTCAACGCCTCCTCTCACATACGAGCCAGATCTTGAGTGGCTCGTGAAATTTAATTAATGGGGATGGATTAAACCTGTCAAAAGAATGAGTTGGATCGGACTTGGGTCGAGTTAAAAATGGTCCGACCCATATTAACTCATTTGCATACAACACAATTTTGGCGATCCATACCCGATCCAATCCAACCCAACCAATATTACTAAAAGACTTCAGTATTAAATATAATTTAGAAAAACTTGTTTCTTATAAATTTTTAAAAATATATATTGTTAAAATAATGTGGGCAATTTTTATAATAACAAAAATGCGGGATAAATAGAAAAAAGATACACGGTATCGTGATTGACCGACTATTAAATCAATTGCAAGTCTAGAGGCCACACAACTTATGTTTTTTTCATGGCATTTAAACTCTCGATCAATCATACTCCACTTAAGATTTGGACCGAGTCTTTCCCATTGATCCTTGCTGATTCGCGTGCAATACTTGGGCATGTCTAAAAGCGTGGATCCGAAGCACTCTAACACGCTACGTGAAATAGTTTTGCAAGCTACAAAATAAGAAACGAATCACACGGAAAAAAGTTGAAAATAATATACTATTTTCCATTACCGATTAGCGAAATGATTAAAATCAAAAGGTTTAGGGGCCTGACGCTTCAGTAATGGGAATAAACAGCTACTTCTTATCCTATTACTATTAAATAATCTTTTCCCACGAATTCACAAATGAGACGAAAGTCTCATATCATTATCATCAACAGTTTTTTTATCATTCTCTATCAATCTATCAGAATGTGAGGTCCTCTTCCTTTGTCGTCAATCGGAGGACGTCCACAAAAATGGCCACCCAACAGGTCTCCATCAATACGTGGAAACTAGTGTACTTTTTGCTATGATTAGGAATCAGAGTAAGATCTTCCCGATCCATTTTTTAGAGTCGGATAACTGGTCATGACGGGCAGACATGGCCACGGGCCGATTTCGAGCGAAATCAGCCCGGGTCAAACCCAGGATCGGCCCGTTGACCGGGCCCACGGTTCGGAACCGAAATCAGCCCATGGCTTACGGGCCCAGTTCCAGTTCCAACAATTTTGGAACCGGCTCGGAACCGCTGGTTCCAAACCTTGTTCAAAAAAAATAAATAAACTGCAGATAAATGGAGAAACTCTTTTTTTCCTCAAATTTGATTATAATGTATATTTTGATTACATTTTATATTAAATAATTTATTATTTCATAATTTGATAATTCATTATTTTTTTATTTCATAATTTATTTTTTTAATTTTTATCGGTCGGTTCTGAACCGTGGCTATGTCTAATGGCGGGGTCTGATCAAAATCACACCCTTGGGTCTAGTGAGAGAGTTGATTCTTGATTCTGGTGTGAGTGGATTTTCCATATACGCAGTTCCTAGGAAAATCCCAAACGAAGTTCTATTTAGTTGCGTCAATTGATGCTTCATCTCCACTACGATACCGATCAGGTTCATCAGCTTTGAATATGTTGTTTGGCCCCTTCCCATGACTTCCATAAAATTTATTCTAAATAAGTCATGGACATTCGGGGTCCATATGATCTCCTTTTCATATTCAACAACACATGCTTTGATATTATTATATTAGGGAGGATCTACTTTCTGTTTTTTAGTTAGCATAATAATTTGTGTATCTCTCTTGTGATTTATTAGGGATAATAGGTAGATTAGATAGATTTCCTTCTTTATTAGGGAAGACCTACTTTCTATATTAAGTTAGCGTAATATTTTGTGTCTCTTATAATTAGTGAGATAATTGGTAGATTTTTTCCTTTTTTTTATTGAGCAATATCCTGTATTTATTTTTGCACTATATGATGAGTAATAGAAGCCAATTACAAAGTCTCACGTGGTATCATTGTAAAGAGATTAAAACACACCTGGCACGACCCATTCGGCCGAGGAAGCAAATGCAAAAATAAGGTGATTGACCCTTCCCCACCATGTTAGCTTAACGCTTCCAACAATATCGGAAGTGTACTCATTTTGTGTGTGTTGACCCAAGATAATTGCGCAACATGGTCAAAGGCGACGAGACGCGCATTGCAGGTGAAAGTTAAATTCGAGTTTATTGGCAAATCGATAGAGAAACCAAATCCAATAACACCTAAATTTGATGACTAGGAAATCTGTAATTCTATGATAATTTTTTGGATTTTCAATTCCCTCAACAAGAATTTATAGGGAAACATGACATACGTAGAGGAAAGAAAGGTAGTGTCAGATGAGTCGAAGAAGAGACTCACTCAAGGAAATGGACCTAGCATCCACGACATCAAAATTGAAATTGGCCATTATCTCGAGAAGGGGTCTGGATGGTGGAATATTACACTAAGTTGAAACTTTTACGGGATGGAGTCGATGACTATGATGATGTACCAAAGTGTACGGGTGTTGGAACCTGACATCTTATTTACCAAACCCGAAGAGAAACCTTTGTGTCAGTTGCAACATAGGTATCCACTAAACAAGCAAAGTTGCTGCGCTCTAACCGCATATGCCTTGAGTAGTCGTCCACGTGATGGTTTCTGGTCCTTGAGTAGTGCCGAGTAAGACATACATTAGTCCACTAATTTGTTACCACGTGTACATGCTGTCCCACTCTTTAGAAACTTTCAAATTCCTTTTTGTTCCTTTTTCTTTTCTCCTGCTACTCTCTCTCTCTCTCTCCATCCTCCGCCTCTCCCACCCCGGCCACCTCCTGACGGCACTGTCTTGCCGTTGCCCAATAGGTTGACCTCCCTCACCGAACTTAGCCTCTTGTGCAACTGGCTGTCCGGGCCTCTGCCATTTTCTTCGTGATGGTCAGCGAGCTCTGAGTCCTCGACCTCGACTTCAACGGGCTCTTCGACGAAATCCCCGTCCTTCCTTGGGACATATAAAAATCCATGATGGAATGATCAAGACTTAAGGAATAAGGACAATAGAGCAACCTATAGACATCTTCACCTAGCCTTTGTGTAAGAGGCAACATACGTCTCTACTAAGCAAGTTAGGCGTTCTCGATGTACATAAATCATCAGCTTGGGGGGAGTGTTGGATATACTATTGCCCGTGATTGATATGAAGAAGCTACCATAAGCACTGATTGATATCGTATATTTGATATGATTGTCCTTAATTGATTTATTGGAATATTGTATATCAGGGAATCATCTTTTTCCTTTTCTGTATATTTCTTACCTAGATTGAGTAGACTTTATGTACTATAAATAGGGTTGTTTTCATAGAGTTTCAATATGAGAAAGAAATACAAATTTTCCTCCATTTAGCTTTCCATCAGCCCATATTGTGACATGAATAGAAGAGGGCTCAGGGAAACATTGCGGTATGTCTCATTCCTACCTCTTTTAGCTCTCATTCTGCCTTACTCTTCACATTGCTTTTACTAACTTACGTATCGCAGAGTCCTCCCAAGTAAAACCTAGTAAACTTTCTTGTTAGTAGTGGGCAGGTCCAACACCCGCATCAAGGCTTGGGTTCAGCCCAACTTCTTCGGCCCAATGTTAGCAGCCTTCTAGATTTGCACATCTTCACCGCCTATGATCAATTACTCTGCCCATGGGTGTAGTAATTGATCAAATACGCAATCTGTTCAGAAGTCTATGTTTTCTTTCAAAGTCATTGTTGCAATCATTGCCCAACAATCTCTGCGATCGGCCATTATGGATGTGGATCTCAGGTTTTTTAGGCCCAAATCAACTACTTGAATGGCTTATGTCCTAGCAACAAAGGCCACAACATAACTGCCCTTTTGCCAATACGAGGCTATATGGGCCAAAATACTTCAATTGATGTTCAAATCCATTTGGGCCACAGCATTGAGCAAACCTATCGAACTAGAGGAACAGTCCAAAGTCATAAAAGAGATCGAAACTAACTTACAATGCCATGTCCGACCAAAAGTAATACATGTAATATGTAATTGCCAAATTTTAGTAAACTAAATTTTATACACGTGCAGCACTATATTAGTAAACTTTTCTACAACAAAGTTATGTGCTCCCATGTTGACACCTAAATTTTAACTAGTCATTTGGGAACAATTGCATAGAAAATTAAGGATTAATTTTTTAACCCCTAAACAAAAAATATAATTAGATGGCATTGCATATAGATATTAGGAGCATTTCATTAATAGTTAATTAGGCCCATATAGTTTGTATATTTATCGGACATATGGCAGATGGACTCGAGCGAATGGTTCTGAGCTTAATTCAATCAAGCCCATGACCAAAAGTCACATGTTTTGTACGTGTGATCTTCGGTTGCAAGAGATGTTCTGTATATATATTTTTCTGCCACATGGAGGACCGAGAAGGAAGGGAGATTCATTATATTTGGCCATATTGTCAGAAGATAGGAGGGAGTAATATCCTATCCGCACGTATCTTTAATCCATGGACAGTAATTGGCAATATATCTTTTGGAAATTCCATTAAAAAATCTTGGGCGTCACGACAAGACAAGGGGGAACATTCTTCACCGAGACGAGGGCAATATATCAGCAGATTTTGTTTCTTG